TTAACCCATAAAATTAACCATCTTCAAAACATATAAAGTTCGGTTTAATCGATTTTGGTTTATTTGATTAGGATTTATTAGGTTTAATTTTCCAGTTAAACCGTAAAATTTATGTAAAAATAAATGTTAATCTAAAAAAACTTACTATATTTTTAGCAAATGAAGAAATACATTAATATATTACATATTATTATCATTAACATATCTATAGTATACATTCTTATGTTTAACATATTTTGTCTTGAAATCTCATATTTAATTATTGCGTTTAACATTGCCAAGAAAGAACGGAAGATTAATTGTCTCTACTCTCTAGTTGTATATGAAAGAGAAAGAAATGATGAGGTCAATCGACATTAAGCTAATCATAATTGGTTGTTGCTTTGTAATACAAAATATAAAACATTTATAATTTATAATGATTAATAATTAAATAATAAGTTTTGGAAATCTTTTTTAGCAACTAAACTATAATTTTAAATATAAAATGTTAATTTATAGTTATAAAATATAAAAAATATATTAATTAATTAAATTATTAATTTTTTTTTCGGTTTAACTAAAATAATAAAAAATTTAACGAGAATCAAACCCAATAAGATATTGTTATTCGATTTAACCAAACCGAATTAACCAAAAACCAAATAATTTGAATCAAATAAACTAAATATCATTCGGTTTGGTTCGATTATATGATTTCGTTTGTTTATCACACCAGTAGAAAATAGAAGGATATTTATGTTTTTATATTAAAACTAGGTTATAACCCGTGGAAACCACGGGAGGTAAGTTAAAAATTTTATATAGAACAAAAAAATTAATAAATGTAAAAAAGCATTTAATTGTTCATATTGAAATCCAAATTGACTAGGTCAATGTGTTTTATAAATGTAATATTTGAAGTAGCCATATCTCTAAAAAAATTAGAAAAGTCAATGAAATGAGAAAAAATATTGAAAAGACCTGGGAATTACAATCAAATTGTAGTTCACTTGAAAAGGGAATTACAACTTCTATTTTCTCCCAACAGATTTTTAAAATAGCATAAATAATCTATAATAAGTCACTTGATATATAAAGATAAACAACAAAATTTAAACTATGTAGATAAATAAAAACTAAGAGCTAACTATTAAAAATATTTTCTAACATACTTATTATAACAACCATGCACAATAGTACCTTAAAATGTTGTAACAATCTCAAAATATGGAGTAATCACATGTTATAAGAACCATACACAGAAAAAAGGGTATAATGGGAATTTTTTTTAGAAAAGCAGTTATTTATTAGACATGACAGAAAAAAAAAATCAATTAAAGACTAAAATACCCCTGGGACCATTTTCTGTCCAACACAACTAGGAAAATGTCACCCATTTGCCCATTTTGCCCTCCAGCTATGAATCAATAAAGTCTGGGGCTTATCAGTACTACGTGTTCTCTATCCTATGAAACTTTACATTTTGGTTTGATAATTTTAAGTAAATTCCCGAAATACCCTTCAATTATTTGTCCCTGATTAATTAGGTTCCAATTTGTTCATCCTTTTTTATTTTGTTTTTGATACAACATATACAGTAAGGGTCCGTGTGTAAACATAAATGGTCCATATGCAAGTCAAAGAAGGTGGAGAGTTGAAAAAGAAAAAAAAGAGATTGTAATTTTGTTATCCATTGATGTCTATAGATAAGAAGAAGTTATGGGTCGATCAAACGGGTAAATCTCTTCCCGTGTCTTCACTCTATATAAACCTATTCACTCTCTTTACTTTTTTGTTTTTAGTTAGAATGACAATATTGTCCAAAAAGTCAAAATGATCAATGGAACCACAATAAAACCTCTATTTTTTCTTTTTTTAGTGTTTCATATTAGTATAAGTTTTCTTTTTTGTTACTTTTTAACATGTCGAAATGACCAAAAAGAACAAAAATTCTCAAAATGGTCAAATTGACAAAAAAATGTTAAAATTCTTATTTTTTCCAAAAATAATTAAAAAGGAATAAAAATTTTCAAATTTAACAAATTGACCAAACCTCTAAAATGGTCATTTTTTATACTTATTTAATTAACCAGGAACCATTTCTTTAAATTTATTTAAAACATGGACATCATCAGTAAGATTTTTTCCCTGTACCAAAACTGAAAAAACAAAAAAAAAACAAAAAACAAAAGTAGGATGCTATTATATGCAAAAAAAGGTAAAAATCACCAAAATCACCAAAATGACCAAAAAGGTAAAAATAATCAATTTCACTAAAAAAACTTTTACTTTATGTTAGGATTCATTAGATAAAGTATGTTGTTATTTATTTAACATATGTGATTTAATTGGTCCAAATTAAGAATAAAAAAAAATTAAAAAACAAATGTACAGTAATTTGCTAAACCTATAAACTCTGCATATTTTCTATGATTTAATATTACTACTAACTAATTTGCGAGTTCCTAAAGCAATAACTATAAAAACCTAAAGTTTGTAAACAAAAACCATATATATCATAACCCTTGGCAATTTGTGAAATATAGACAAACCAAATAAAAGGTAGGTGATAGGATTCTCATCATATGGTACACAAATGTAAATGTATGACAACGATGGTTACTGTAAAAACCAAATGTAAATTGTCCAAGTAGAGGTGTATTGTACATGAAATGACAATATACTTTCAAACTATACTTCACAGGGGTAAAAATGTAAAGTTTTCAACTAACTATGAAAAGATAATTAAAGGGCATTAGAAAAACCAAATACAAAGTTTTTAACTTGAAAAGGGAATTACAACTTCTATTTAGATAAATAAAAACTAAGAGCCAACTATTGAAAAGATTTTCCAACAGACTTATTATAACAACCATGCACAGTAGTACCTTAAAATGTTGTAACAATCTCAAAATATGGAGTAATTCGATGAAACTTTACATTTTGGTTTGATAATTTTAAGTAAATTCCCGAAATACCCTTCAAATTAACTATGAAAAGATAATTAAAGGGCATTAGAAAAACCAAATACAAAGTTTTTAACTTTAATATAATAAAAAGTATATATAATCAGTAAAGTAATATTTCAAATAATTAACATTTAAACCATATTTAAAATCAATAAAAACAGTGAAAGAAATACAAAAACCAAATTGTTTGATTTAATTACACAAAACCCTATATAAAACACTTTGAAGATTGCAGAATGTAAATGGAAAAGACAAATGACATAAGAAGCCCTGCTCATTCTCAACAGAAACAAAATAAAGTAATATTTTTCTAAAATTATGAATTTTGTTAAACTAATAGCCAAATATGTTTAGCCAAATTCATATATGTCGTTATAACCTCATCATATTCCGACTTTATAATGAATGGATTGGAAGAACTTGATGATGATCAGTTACACTTCAAAGAACATCAAAACAGAAATAAAGAATGATGATTTCACAACAGATGTTTTTAGCAAACGGAACTTCATTGGTATTAATGTATTTTCACAAAAGGTTATAATTTTTGGGTTATGAAGATGAACTAACCAGATTTGTTATGTTGAGACTATGCAGAAATCGTAATATTGAAGATGAGAAAGCAGAATAAAAATTGATAATGGGAATGGATATTGAAGACGAAAAAACACAATATAAATGGAGTGAGAATATTATTTTGAAATTCCTGATTTTTTGGGATTCATTTAAATCTTGAAAAGAGTTTAAAAACGATAAGATTTGTAGTCAATGACATTGAACGTAAATTGTTATGTTTCCAAAAAAACATGGAATTTTAATTTGAATTTTGAATGTTATATGAATCCGAAAAATACAGTAGGTGGAAAAAAATTCGGGATTTTTTCTACATTTATGCAATATATTAAATTTAATTTAATTTTAGATTTAGGATTATAGTCATAAAATGACACGTGGCAGGTTATCAATGTAGAAATGGGACGTGGCACATTGTTTATTAGAGAAAGTAGAAATAGATGTAAGAAATGAAATTTATAATCCCTTAGCCAAATATGACCAATTACTTCCGGAATTTATGGAAATTTTAAGAATTTCAATTCTTTTCATTTTTATTAGTTAAACGTATTTTTTACTGAAATTTACATTTTAACTTTTCCTATTTTTTTAATAAAAAATTTGTGAACAAAATATTCCTAAAGGTGTTAATTCTTACACATTCTTTGTAATAATTTTCCATTAAAACGATGTTAGTTTAAAATACGATGAGAATTCAATTTTGCGATACCTGCCCAAGAAACGTGAAACACAACACAAGAAGTCCACAAGAAACAAACCCTCTCTCTTTTCTTCCTTCCTTCCCTCCTTCCCTTGTAGTTTGTACTTGAAAACTTTCTTTAACTTTTTGTTGCGACACCATGTCCCTGTCATCCTCCTTTATCAAACAACACTGAACCCACCTCAATAAAGAAAGTCCATTATACCACATACAGACATGACCCACCTCCACCTCCACCTCCACCATTGATTTGAGAAACAAAACCTACTGCTGCTGGTCTTTCTTGTTTCTCTCTTTGGTAATTCAATTCTTCTTTAGGGTTTGTGGTACCTAATTCCCACAAGTGATCCAAGTTCCAATGCTATTCATTTAACAATAAATATTCTTTTTGTTATTCCAGAATCCGAGATCAACCTCTAATGCCTTAAGGGTGTTTGATAAAATGTCTAAGAGAAGTTCTTGAGGGTCTTTGCCTACACAACAACCTTAACTTCTTGAGGGTTTTTGCCGCTAACTGCTCTCTTTAGACTTTACCCACTTCTTTTACATGGATTCTATGCCAGGTTTTGAAAGGCTGTAAAGCTCCAAACAGTCTTCTCTCTCCACATCTCTTTCTGTAAGTACTTTCTCTCTCTAAATGTTGTTGATAGTTCTTATATTGGAAAGCTACATGATTTTCTTCAAGTGTTATCAAAATATCAATCAATTTCAACTCAGACTAGTAGTTATTTTTCTACATTGGGTTTCTTGTCTTCTGTTTGTAAAGTTAATTTAAGGGGTTGGAATGCTTTTTTTGTACTTAATCCATTTAATTAATCCTAAGCTTTTTCCCTGCTCCATGGATTCCCTCATTAATTTCTTTTATTTTCTTGAAATTGACAGGTTGAAGCCACTATCCAACACTCAATATTTCATCTACAAGCTGCTGAAGGATTTGAATAATACCCCCAAACTTAAGACTTTCTGGACTCTGTTTGGGTGTTTTACGATGTGGAAGAGTGATTTCGATTGATGGATTTCATTTCAGAGACGTAAAGAGGAGATAAACAGGAAAAAGACCCAAAAAGTGTAGAGTCAAAGCATTAAAGAAAAAGTATTTGAAAGTGAAAGTGGATTATGGACTGGAATTTGAAGATACCTTCTTGGGATTTCACAGAATTCGAACAAGGAACAATTCCCAACATTGATTCGACTAGTGGGTCGAGTAGTTATGGAGGGCAGGGGATTAAAGGGAATTTCTGTGTCGATTTAAAGCTTGGCCAAGTAATCGATTCAGGAAACGAGTTGAAGTCCACATCAAAAATGGCGCTATCACCTTCTGCTTCATCCAAAAGGGCACGTCCAATAAATAACACGATTCCGGCCGCCACTTGCCTCGTTGACGGCTGCCACGCCGACCTCAGTAACTGCAAAGAGTATCATCGCCGCCATAAGGTCTGTGAAGTCCATTCCAAAACCGCTCAGGTTTCCATTAATGGTCAAAAGCAACGATTCTGCCAGCAATGTAGCCGGTATGACTCTCTACTCTCTTCTTTCCTTTTCTGTTCTAGGGTTTTTTCTTGTTGCCATAATTATTAGGTAACCTATATTTATATACCCTATGGTTACTTGATTATTATTCAGTTTCATTTTCATACTACTTCTATATACATTTGTTTTTTTTTCCTTATTTTATATATCGCATTACTTCCTTACATACTCATAGTCGTGATTGAACCAAATAGGTTTCATTCGCTGGAGGAATTTGATGAAGGAAAACGAAGCTGTAGAAAGAGGCTGGATGGACATAATCGCCGGAGAAGGAAGCCACAGCCTGACACCTCACGGGCGGCAAGTCTTTTCTCCGGTCACCAAGGTCAACCATTCAAACTTTAAATTCATTTAACTGCTGTTTTTTTTTTCTTTACTTAATGTGCTTTATGAGTTAAGCACTTAATCTACACAACTATAAGTCGTTTCTTTTTGTCTTAAGCTTTGGCAATAATGGTTTAATGGATCAAGCCATGGTTATCAAGACGTGAAGACAGCCAATCTTTTTACCTATTTACCCTTCTCTTTTTTTTTTTTTTTTTTTTTCAATCAGCTTCTCTCACGTTAAAATTGATGAATCATGTTAAAAATTGTTTGTTGGAATGTAGGGGTAAAATGCTCATCTATCTCTTTCTCTAGAACGAAACTAAATTACCATGTTACCCTTACATTCAAAACAATTTTACAATATTCATCATTTTTAGTTGATTGGAAAGTAGGTAAGTGGTTGATGTCTTAATACATTAAGCCAACTTTTTCTTTTCGGTTTAATTCATTAAGTCATTTAGTTTAGATTAATTCAAAAAGATACACCCTTATTTATGCTTAACCCATAAAGCTCATTAAGTAAAAAAATAAACGACCCCTAAACAAACCTTTACATGATTGTTATTTTTATTGGTGGTTTATATTATTACAATATGTTCCAATATTGATGCTAGATCTGGTTGGTTTTAGGTGCCACAATGTTGCAGTTCTCAAGCCCACATGTGTATCAAACCACATCACTCACGAATCACCTCTGGACCACAATGGTGAAGTCTGAAGAACAAACGTACTCGACCCGACACTCGACCATGGCCCACAAACACAACCCGTTTCCCGAATCATCTTCGGGCAGCAAAAAGTTACCCGGAAAGCAACAATTCAGCCTCTTTCATGGTTCACATCTTAAACTGAACCACCAGACTTCACCTCCAAAAGTCAGTCAACAGTCACAGACACATCCACAGCCACAGACAGTTGTTACTTTTGAAGGTAATAGCAGCAGTAGCTATGAAAAGCTGTTCTGTGATGGGTATCCACCACCGGCAGCGGCGGCTAGGGTGGTGCAACCGGTGGTGCAGTCGTCAGACTGTGCTCTCTCTCTTCTGTCATCGTCACCTTCACAGACATCTTGTACGACACTGAGCCATGTGATGCACCCGTCTAACTCGTACGGGGCTCCACCAAATCCAATGGATGCGGGTGCGGGTTATGGTGGTCTTGAGTCGATTATGGATCCTAATGGAAATGGGAATGATTGCGATGGGATGATTCAGATGGGAATTCATCATCATCATCAGCAGCAGCAGCATGCATCGCCTGATAATGGAGCTCCCCAAACACTTCCGTTCTACTGGGAATAAGTGTTTGTAGTTGAACAAGTGATGATAAATTTCAAAGTCTTTGTAGTTTGTATGAGATTTGATTTGATTCGATTTGGTTTAACAGTCACGTTTTGTAGTTGTTTGGGTTTGCGTAGAAGGTTAACAAAATTTGTTGATTGAACTTTAAGATGATGGTGATCCCTTTTAACAAAATTTTATTGAATGTCCTCTCTTATCTCTGCAGTGAAACATAATGGGCCCAAAAGGCATTGTTTCTACAAAATTTGTTGAACCTTGAAAGTTGAAGGGGATAAATCAAAATTCAAAAAGGTGTAGTGAACCGGTCCAACCAAGATAAGCTATTTTTTCCTTTTTGGTAGGAAGTAGCAAGTGGGGATGGTTAGTTGTTCTTGCACCAATGCCCTATCTCGTGTACAAGATCGAGATGGTGTCGATGAAGAATCCCAGTTACTAGCGAGATCCAGTAATTGAGAATGCAAAAGTGTCGTTATTTTTTACAAATTCGTGAAAAAATAGAAATAACAAGGAAGAGATTTTTAACATAATTTTGCTAGAGAATTCAAGAATGTAAGCATACCACATCCTACATGACTTATACAACAACATCACCACCCAGGTGCAATACAAATGAGGTTAGGGGTAGGTAGGTTGGTCGGAAGTCTCTACTGTTGAATATAGAGCGATTTCGTAGAAGCCCTGCATATAATATAAAACTGATGTGTTTTATATGCTATAAATCTATGTATGAGGCGGAAAATTACTTAACTTTTAAGTTCACATGCAACCTATTTGGATCTATGTTTTCAGTATTGATAGCAATAACCTATGAATATCAAGAACCCTAAGAAAACTCTATAATAATTGAAATTTACATAGAGTTTCTTGATTAGTATAGCAAATAATCACACCAATAACCTTTTTGAAAACCTTGGAAAACAAGTACCACAAGTTTAGTGTCTCTAATGGTTTGTATCAAAAACCCTAGAAACCCTAGAATGAAGAGGAGATAGAGGAAAGTGAAGGGTCCAGTTTATGGTTTGGGCTAGGCTATCTAATGTATAGGTCTTATTGAGTCTTTTGTTATGTAATTGTATTGTTTGGATGAGTTTACGGCCAGAGGTCTGTTTACGGCCAACCTTCCCCTATATATAGGGCGTGTCAGAGTCTGTCAGTTGTTGTTGTCAGTTCATAGAGTTTACGGCCAGTCCAAGTTGTACCTGATGTTTCTTTGATATAAACGTGTGCAAGTCTTGGTTCAATCTTCTTCTACTTCATTCTTATCTTGTTTGATTGTTAGATTGTTTGATCACTGGTTAAGATCCTTGTTACAAGGGCCTAACAATTGGTATCAGAGCGGATTCGGTGTCAAACACTCTTCAATCGTGTTCACGGTCAAAAGGAGCTTTGGTTCATCACTGTTCGAGGCCTGATTTTGTGTTTTCATAGCAAAAGGAGATCAGATCTGCAAAAATTCGTGTTTTTCATCAAATTTTGGGCATTTACGGTCAAGAGTTCACGACCGTAAACTCCTATTCACGGCCGTAAACAGGCAATCTTCATTGACCGTAAACTCCTCCTCAACCGTAAACTGATAATCTTCAGTGACCGTAAACAGTGTATCTTCAATAACCGCAAACAGACAATCTTCATTGACCGAAAACTCCCCAACCGTAAACTCAACCGTAAACTGTTTTTACGGCCGTAATCTTGTGGCCGTAAACTACGTTCTTGGTGCTTTAGTCTAATTTTTTTTGTCATTTTCAATTTAAAAATATAAAAAAAAACAAAAAAAAAAGGATTCTCAAAGCCAAACAATTCATCATGAATTGGATTCAATCATGGGAACAACCACTCGTATTCCACGCTTATTATCTGCGGAAGGGTTCCCGGAATGGAAATACCGGATCGAGAAATACATCAAGATGAAAGACTTTAAAATTTGGCGAAGTATTCTCAGAGGACCAGTCAGAATCACTACTACTCTTGCAAATGGACAAATAATTGACAAAGTGTATGCTGATTACACTGATGAGGATTTTGAAAAGGTTGAAGAACAGGAAAGGGCGTTGGCTACTTTAACTATGGCTTTATCTCCCGATATTGCTCAAGGATTCAGAGAGTATGATTCAGCCAAGGCATTGTGGGAAGCGTTAATTGAGGTCTATGAGGGTAATGAAGATATGAAACAAAGTCGCCAAGACATGTTAAGACAGAAATTCAATATGTTTAATTATGTTCTTGGAGAGACTCTAGAAGCCCAATTGCAGCGTTTTACCACACTCACCACTAAAATGAGTTCAGCTGGGATTTTAATAACTAAGTCTGAGATAAACAAAAAGCTGCTGAATTCACTTCCAAAAGCATGGGATATGAATGTGGTTGTCATCAAGAAGACGAAAGTTCTAAATCGTCTCAGTCTTGCTGAAACTATGGCAATCATCAAAGCTTGTGATCTTGATGATAAGCAAAGAGAGATTAATCATGTGAATTCCTACTCGACTGCAAATCTTGGGATTTCTTCAAATAATGCTTTTTCATCTTTCACCTCCACTCCAAGTCAAGCTTTTTCCGTTCAACAACCTCAGAATCAAACCTTTGTTGTTCCATCAGCTGCACCATTTGTTGCTCTAGCTGCTGCACCATTTGTTGCTTCATCATCTATGTCTCATCCACAAAGTCAATCTTTTGTTGTTCCACAAGCTGCTTCCTCCTCCAAAGCACCAGTTATGGTTCCTGCTCCAAATTCCAAAGAAAGCGATGAAAATTTAGTTCTTGCCACTGGACTTGTCAATTGCTACAACGCTCTTGTAGCTGGAGAGCTTCCACCTCAACTCTTATTTGCTGATCTAGATCAAATTCATCCAAAAGATGTGGAAGAAATGGATATCACTTGGCAGATAGCAATGGTAGTGTTCAGGGTAAAGTAATTTGCAAAGAAGACGGGAAAGAACAACTGGGGGATGAATGCTGACAAAAAGGTTGGATTTAACAAGGGAAAGCTTCGGTGTTACAATTGCCATGAGCCAGGTCATTTTGCTCGTGAGTGTCCAAAGCCAGACAGAAGAGTAAGCAATGATAAAACAATGGTTCCAGTGGGAAATAGTCGTGGAAGTGCTGCTATCAACAGTGAGACTGCTAATCTGGCAGTGGTTGCTCAGTCCTTTGACTGGGAGGATCAGATTCAGGCACTGAATATTTCAGGACTTGAGAGTGCTCACTTTGCTCAAATCAATGATGCTCAAGAAGAGAAAGCTGAAGTTGATCCTGAAGAAGAGATGATGGAGTTGCAGTTTGCTTTTATGGTATCTTCTACTCCAGAACCTGAGAAGAAAGAGGTAAGTCGGTCTTCATGTTCTCAATCATGCATTGATAATGTCAAAAATTTACTTGAGCATATAGATTTATTGCGTAGAGAGAACGAGGACCTAAAATACGAAGGATATCAACTTAGAAAAGGACAGAAACCTCTAAAAGCACAATTAGAAGCAAAAACAAATGACTTTAGGAAACTTCAGGAAGAGAATAGCAATAAGTGTGCCAATTATAGATTTGTAACTGAACAACTTGCTGAGTTTGACACATTGAAAAACAAATTTGAAAATGCGGATTTTAATTTCAGAAAATTTGATGTGTCAAGTGAAGTAGTTGCATCAATGATGGAAAACAGCTTGAGATTTAAAAATAATCAATCAAAGGGTTTAGGATATGATAAAGTGCATCCTCCTTTTAATCATAATTATCAGTTTAAGCCATTGACTGAAGAAGAGATGGACAGAGAGTCATTTCTCAAATATGGCAAACCAGCTGGATTTGTGTCAAGAGGTAGTATTAATGTTGAAAATACTAATGTTTCTACTTCCTATGCAGATCAATCTTTAAGTCAATCCAAGCATGAAGTTGAAGGATGTGTGTCTGAAAATAAACTTGTTTCAGAATCTGCTGTTTCTATTTCAAATGATAACATTTTTGTTTCTAATGTTAAAACAAATGATGTATCCTGTGATGATTCTGCATCACAAAATGATTACTCAAACTTTTTTGATATATTTGATGATTTGTTTGAAAATTCTGATGTTTCTGTTTCGAGCATATCCACTTCACCAATCACACACCCCGATTCACCCTCACCTATCACACAATCTGATTCTTGCACATGTTCTTGTGGGAAATGTAAGGGTGTCATTACGGAAAATAAACCAGAGAAAGGCAGTACCAGTTCCAATAACAATAAGCAGATTTGTTTCAACTGTGGTACTGCTGGTCACATCGCTAGGAATTGTCGTAATAGGGCATTTGTGCATTTTTCGTCTAAAATAGGAGAGAACGAGTCCCGAGGAAGGTCTTTAACTAGAAAGTCCTCGAGATCTCGCCCTCGAGATAATGATTGGAAGACTAATCAAAACAAGAAAATGGCAGTTTTTCAAAAGAACAAATAGGTTTTCAATAATAAAGTCACAAATAGTTTGCCAAAATCGAACAAGGCTAAGCCAAGGTCGGTTTCGTTAAAGAGCGGATCTGGATCTTCAATCACTTCTGGTAGAAAATCCAAATGCTCAAATCAAACAGGAAAGAAAAAATATTTCAAAATCCAAATGCTCAAATCTACGTTGATCAACCCTCTGGGTTCGTTAACTCGAAATTTCCTAATCATGTGTACAAGTTGGACAAGGCGTTGTATGGGTTACATCAAGCTCCTCGATCGTGGTATGCAACTCTCACAAAACACTTTCTTGAGCATGGATATTCTCGTGGCACTATCGATCAAACCTTGTTCATCAAGCATGTGGATAATGATCAGATTCTAGTTCAGATCTATGTTGACGACATTATCTTCGGGTCTACAAGTCCTCAGCTATGCAAGGAGTTTGAAGGCGTTTTGAAAAAGAGGTTTGAGATGAGTTCGTTGGGTGAAATAACCATGTTTTTGGGGCTTCAGGTCCAACAAAGATCAACCGAAATCCTGCTCCATCAAGCAAATTATGTGGAGGATATACTTGAGAAGTTCGGGTTATAAGACGCAAAACCTGCTTTGACGCCAATGGCCGAGAGACCCCTGCTGACTCTAGATACTGATGACGAATCCGTATATCAAACTCACTTCAGATCAATGATCGGTTCGTTGATGTATCTAACTGC